GGGGCTCCATGTGCTGCGAAGGGGCTGGTCGGGGCACGAGGGTGCTTCAGTGCAGGGCTAACTGGCAGCTGAAGCACCCTCATGCCCCAGCCAGGCTCCCCATTGCACACGCAGCCCCATCGGAGCAGTCCTGGGCTGGCTGCTACCCCTGGCTTCACATGCTGCGGGGCAGCTGGCTGGGCATGAGGGTGCTTCAGTGCCAGGGCTGCCTGCTGGCTAACCCTGCACTGACTCACCTTGTGCCCCCCCCAGCCAGGGCAGCGTCTACACGTGTACTGCTGCGCATGGAAAAACTCCGCAGCAGGGTAATACTCGCATTTTACACGATTACCCTGCTGCGGAGTTTATTAGCTTCGTGCACTCTAATAGGGGTGCACATGGACATGCCGAGATGTGTACTGCACGATTAATTAGTCAACTGTGCAGTGAACATCTCATGTAGATGCGCCCAGTAAGAACCAGTTGGAAGAACTGGGATCATTTGACCTGGAGAAGGGAAGACTGAGAGGGGATAGGATAGGAGAGGACTGGACCTTCCCAGCCACTGAGCGCTCTCAGCTCCCACTGGTTGCAGTGTGCCAGCGCTCAGCTCCTCCCATGAGGTGCCAGCGCCGGACAGCATTGGACCTTATGTCCTTCACAGTAGGCTGGCTGGGCAGAGGCACGTGGCATCTCAACACCAATGAGCGGTAAAGCCTGATGTCTTTGCCTACTTCTTTCAACATAGTCAGGAGCCAGGGGAGAACAGGTGGTTAAGGAGACATCCATGCATTACCTCTAGGCCACTGTACTGCCACTCGGGTTTTGGCTTCCTTCAGAAAGCCCAAGGGCCAGCAGTCCCGAGCCTTTCTGCCCATGGCAGACAGGCTGGATCGTGTCTCTCCAGAGACCTGCCCCGCTCCTTGGTACCCCTGGCCAGCCTTCCAGCAGGGCAAAAAGAAACCAAACCGGCTGAAAGGGAAGTCTGGTGAGATGCAGGGAGCGTGGGGAGACCTGGCTACACAGGAAGGGCTGAAAGGAGGGATGGAGCATGTGGATGAAGGGCAGAGCTGGCCCTGGCAGTGAGCCCGCTGGACACAAATGGGAATTTAGGAACCCCCTGAAAACCTGACTGATCTCCTGGGGGAAGCAGAGCCATGATGGAAAGCATGCGAGCTGGTGACCCATGTGGCAGCGTGTTCCCTGGACAGCCTGCAAGAGATACAGCCTCCGGCCGCTATAGATCACCCTCCCCGACAAGTCACCAGCCTTGATGCTTTCTGACTCAACCGATGCCCCCGCCTGGCACCAAATCACCTCCCATTACTCACCAGCCTTGGCATTTTCATTTGCGTCCAGGCAGACAACCAGCCAGCTTTAAGTAGTTGGAATGACTAATGCCCCGACAGCTGGCAAAAAACCCATCGTCCCTTCTGCTCAGCATCACAGTCTCCCTCACACAGTCCTTGACAAAGGCCTGGATTTGCTCTACAGCTCCTTTCCCCAGGCAGTTTCTTGGGCAGCACAGTTCAAGGTGGAATCAGCCTAAGGTAAGGGTATCAAAGGGTGCAGACACACCAGCAGTTGAGGCACTTTAAGTGGTCCACTGTAGCTGTCTCATCTGTTTGCTCCATTCTGCTTTAAGTAGCAACTAAACCACTGGCAGCTTTTAAGCTGTTTTGTTCAGGTTTAAAGTGACAGTGGTTTAGCTCTGTCTGCTATACCAGGGTAGGAGTAAACAGATGAAACAGTTGCATCGGTTCAGCTGATGCACATCCCTGGGTAGAAAATACCCCTCTCCCATGAGCATGGTTTAACACTGTGTCTGTCCATAGCCAAAGTCCACCTGAGCAGGCCCTCCTGGCACCTGGCTCTTTAGCAAGTCGCTGCAATGATTGCAAAGCTGCTTTCACCTCTTGTTTTGCTTGTGACAGCACCAGTGCCTATCAGAGACTTGTAAGCCCCAATGACCGAATCCTGCCCCGAACAGCGTGCGGTCCAAAGAGACTTGAGGGGGTTGCCCCCGTTTCGCAGATGGGGCACGGAGCGATGAAGTGACTCACCCAAGGCAGCAAGTGAAGCCAGGAGGCGAAGCCACAGCTCCCACATTACAGTCCCAAGCCTTCATCGTACGTGAAGTCCAGGGTGATGGCACAGGGGACAATCTACACAGCCACAGGCTGCCCGAGCCCCGTGGAGACAACATGCAGATGGGTCAGCACAGCGCCATTGGTGCCTTTGAGTCAAGTAGCACTTTTAGGGCTTGTAGGGCATTGGATCCAACCTGGAAACTAGATGCCTTCCGCACCGTCTCGATGCAGGGTGCAATCTTGAGTAGCCACACTGCTGATGGCATACTTGGTAACCTTGCTGGGTTGATGCAAGGCAGAGGCAGCCCTTTAAATCTTCACTAGCTTGAGGCGGCAAGTACCAGACAAGCTTGGAGAGCTTTACCCTGCTGCTGACGGAGTCAGGAACCGGAGATGGGAGCTCTGCGGTGATATCTGCCTGTGTGTCTGGGGTGACACAGCCCAACTCTGACAGCAAGGACCCAGCCATCACCCTTGCCTTGGGCTGGGTTTGAACATGAGAACTAAGGGTGAAACCAGGATTGGCAACCGCAAGAGGTCAGAAATCACAAATCAGGTCCCGTGAGATCACAGGCCTGACTTAAAAATCATGAGACTTAAAAAGGGATTCTTTGCATTTATCTTCCAGTGTTTTTTTAACCCTTAAGGGCTGCACTTTCAAGCTTTTATCTAATCTAGGATCATTATTGCCAGAAACTGCCTTTAAAAAAAAAAAAGACTGCTGAGATTCGTACACAATCCCATGACTCCAGAAGCTGGGGCTTAGAGTAGGAGCTGCAGGGGAGTCACAAGAAATGAAGTGCTGATCCAATATGATTTCACCAACACCCGTTTGCCTTTCAGAGGAGAGTCCTCCACACCTCTGCTTTCACTCTGCCACGCGGCAAACAGAAAACAACACATCGGGCTTGAGAAGGGCTCCAGAGCCCCGCAGCGCCGAGCTGGTCTGAGCTGCTTTTAGTCGATACACACATACCGACGCAGAGCTCGCGACTCGCTGAACCCTCCATCTTTTGCAAAGCCCGGCGCAATGCAAAATGCCCATCTTTCCAGCATGCTGTTTGAGGCAGCCCATTTCTTAGCAACGGTGCATTGCTGATCTTTTTCAGCGTATCAGATGGAAACAGGAATTGCTCAGCTCCCGAGGAGAAGCTGCTTTCAAACCTGATTACCGTCTGATGACACAATCGTTTGGCCAGAACAGGAACCGCGCTGTAAGCGATTGGTTGGTAATGTTTTAAGTACTCCATCCGCTGCTTCAGTAATGAAGCAAATTGCCTTGTTATGTTCAGAAGTAAAATGCCCTGCCTAGGAATAATCACGAAATGAGCTTCTACAACATTGTTTATTCTGAAAATTGCTGGAGTCGAGAGCACCATGAAAACAATCACTCCCACCAGCATAATAGCACAGTATATTTTCAGCCATTAACTGATCCTTGTGATAACCCATGGGGAAGAGAAGCATGTGCCAATGAACGTGGTGCAATTGGTTGCAGGTGAGTTCTGTGGAGCCCTAATTACCGATATCTTTTGACGATCCAATCAGAGATCATTGTGCAAATCTTTGCTTTCGACCCTTAAGAGGTGGGTAATGCCATTCTGGCTGGATCCTACTTTCATCTCCCTTTGTAAACATTAGAAGGGGAAAACTGGTCTGGTGTTAAAAATGGAGATTCCTGTCTGATCTGGTGGAAATGTCTGTAAAGCACCAAGGGATGCATGCAGGATCCTGGCTCTGTGTTCACATCCAGATATCGGTGGCATGGATTGGAAGAGAGAGCAGTCCTGGCCACACACATGACCACCCATAGATGGGCTGCAGAAAATAGCAGGCCAAATGCAGCCCTGCTTGAACCCGTCCTATGAGTTGGTCTCCCAGTAGGAGACCCTTATGGAAAGCATCTCAATCCACGCTCTTCGGAAAGGTTTGCATGCACTGTAAAGCCAACGAGCCTTCTCAAAGGCTTCCTTTTTTGCAATCGCAGCTGTCAGCTTGTCCATGCAAAAGCCGGGCCCCATCTCTGCAAGGAGCCTGACTTGCAGCTAACTCTAGCTGGCAGCTCGGGGACCCCTGAGACTGGGGATGAAAACGCTTTGCCGGGCTGTGCACATGGGACGTGGCTGTCTGCAGCATTGGCACAAGAAGTGCAGTTGAGATATGGTACCAAGCATATAGCAGCACCAGGCCTGGCATGAGTAAGAGGGCCATCGAGAACTGGGCTGAGACACAGGACACTTGGGGCTACTCCCAGCTCTGCCACTGGCCTGTTGAGTGACCTTCGGTAAATCACTTAATCTCACTGTGCCTTGGTTTGCCCATTTCTAAACTGGTGGTAATCATCCTGCCCTCCTTGGAAAATTCCTTTGAGATCTGTGAAAGAAAAGCCTCTACGTGCAAGCTATTTCTTAGTCATGAATCACATTCATTATCCTCTGATCAAAATACACCTGTTTTCTTAGCAGTAAGAGCAGTGCATAAAGTGTTTAACAGTGTTCGTGCTGGCAGAGATCAACTAGTGCAGTTGCAGTAGGCAGTTTTCTTTGCAGAAATCCAGTATCATAGACACAGCATGACAGGTCGATGACACCTGACTGGAGACGTAATGCATTCCCAGAGTGTAATACCCACGAGCTTACTGCTCATTACCCGGACAACAGCAGAGGGATTACAGGAGCTTACATTTAGACAATGATGAAGGAAACCTCATGAGTTTATATGGCTCACCCTATAAGGGATGGATCTGACAGGCTACTCAGACCTCAGTGGGGAGAAACACATGGTCCTACAGGTTCCACATGACAGCTTAAGCTGGATAGCATCGATAACCGCATAGGATCTCTGGGATGGGACAGGTCCCCGGGGTTGTGTCTGGCTCAGTGCAGTGCATTGTGTACCTCACAGTAACCTCTCCTGGTGTTTTTTCACTAGGACCTCCTGAAGCACACGCCCGAGGACCACCCCGACTACCCCTTCCTAATAGACGCCCAAAGGAACATCAAGCAAGTGGCCGAGAGGATCAACAAAGGCATGAAGAGTGCCGAGGAAGTAGAGAGGAATGCCAGAATAGTACAAGAGATCGAGTCCCACATTGAAGGGATGGAGGACGTACGTATGCGACAGTCTCTGCCAACCCAAGACTACCACGTCCTTTGGGTAGGGAAGCCAGTTTGGGGGTGTGAGTTGCTTCTTGCTGAACAGCCTGGTTGAGGATTTAGACTTGGCTCAGTGGGCTCCGATGTGGGCTCAAGACTGGGCTTTGGTACGGGAACCCTGAGCTCCTTTGCTCTCTCCATTGCCCTGGGGCAATGAGATGGGGCACAAGAAACTCCAACTGGAGTACACCCGTGCCTTGGGCCTGTTGTGGGTCTTGACTGGGACATCCCAGCTGCTATCTAATTCCCTACTGGGCCAAACCAGAGCCCCCAAAATCTGAATTTCATGAATACCTACCAGCAGCGCGTAAAGGATTATTGTACACCCAGAGTTAGTTTGTCTGGCTTCTGGGCAAGCGAACATGGAGCTGGTTTCCTTAGAGTCTCCCTAAAAACTCTGGCTTTGTTGGTGTCAGGGCAGCCTCCGTATCACCTGGCTTCTCTTCCCCACACAACCCACTTCTGGTGCTCCTCTCCCCTCACCCCCATAGTTTGGGCTCCATGCACCTAGCCCAGAGACGATGATTAAATCCCCAGTGTGAGGCTCTTGGAAGCCTCTGGCAGAAGGCGCCGTCCCTGTGCAATCCTGAATTGGCCCTGGATACGTTCATGGCCAAGGCCTCGTATGCATTGTGGTGCTAGCTATGGGGTCATCCCTGACCCCGACGGAGCCTGCGGCACCCCTCAGGACTCTCTTGTTTCTGTCATTTCAGCTTCAGGCCCCTCTGCGGAAGTTCCTGCGCCAGGAGATGGTGATAGAAGTGGTAAGAGCAGCGTCCTCGGTCTAACTCGCGTGCCCCCTTCACCCCTCGTGGAAGTGGGTGGCCACGGGGCTCCTGCACCTCTCAGAAATTGCCGCTCTGAGCTGCGGTGCCTGCAGAGAGGAAAGCTAAACACAGGCTCCAGTGGGAGATGTCTTCGGGGAAACCCCAGCCCATGCGTCATGCCTGCCCTGCAGTGCTTTGTGCAGAGCTTGAATAGCAGTCACAAGGCCTTTGTTGAGTTTGAGGTGAGAGCGGACCCCCTGGAAAACACCAGCTTTGTGCGTCGGCTTTTGATGAGCTTCTCTGTGCAGTGCACTCCCTCTCCCAACTTGGGGCCTGCTCAATAACCTTGCAGAAAGCCAGGGCTTTGTTCAGCTCCAGAACAGGCACAGCGAGGACAAAGGCAATGGCAGCATCTCTCCTCATTCAGGGGTGGAGGGCTCCTAGCAGTCTCCCTGGTATTTCTGTTACAGGGGCTGGTTTCTAGCAGTATCAGTGCCATTCACGTATTTTGGTTCCTGGTCCCCTCCTGGGATGGCTGGACAAGGATGGGACATGAAGAGCCAAGTCGAGCGTGCTGTCCAGTTGGCATCCTGGCATTGGGGTGGGTGGTCCTAGGAGAGATTTCATTGATTTGGCTTGGCATCCAGTTGGTGTTTGTATTTACAGCAGGGGTGAACTGAGCTAAAGGGCAGTGTTAGCACAAGAACAAAGGAGTGTAAACTGCCTGTGGATAATTCGAAGCTGGAAAT